TTCCACCGCCTCCCTATGCCCTCTCTGTCATAGTAAATGGACACATGCATGATTTGAACCAAAGAAAGTTCATCCAAGCAGAAGGCGACATTTTGTCGCACAAAGAAATTGGGGTGCGTTAAATTTTGCTCGGATTTAATGCCACTTTTAATGTCTAAAATCACAATTCCTCCGCTTTTAGAGCTCCCATCGAGGGTATATCATTCCCAAAACATGGGAAGGGGGATATTTGCATGTATTATTGGAATGTTTGGATTTAAAGTTATTTTATAAGGAATTTGGTGTGACAACGGGACTCATACACGTCTAGATCAATTTAATTAAAAAGGGAAATTCCTCAACTTGACACTGTCCGACCCCAAAATATATTCTGGTTTATGGAGCATATTAGAGGAGATGGACGATTTCAAAATGCGACTGCAGTGGAAAACCACTTGAGTAATTACCGTTATTCCAAAGAGCGAGCTTTTTCCCCAGAAGGGGATCGAACAACTGGCTGAAAGTTTTGCAAAATTATGTCGAATGATGTCATTATCATATGCATAATGTAAAATCAATAGCAGTTTGATGCTGCTTTTACAATGTGCAATGGCTTATTGGCACGGATCCCATGTTGAATGCCATATTCCAGACTATATAGAAGAAACTCCCTCATAGTCATGTTTCCAATCGACTATTGTAAAAGCTGCTCGTGTACGGGTAAGTTAAGCATTAATTTGATTGACATGTATAGGAAAAGCGGAAGAGAAGGCACTTCCTGAATACCGAAACAGCTGAAATGGAAGAATAAAAAAGCCATTAAACTGTATTTAGAATGATCGATCTAAGCTTTGGAGTAAATGTCTCCATTTAAAACATCTATAGACGATATTTTCATCCAAATGATCGTAATAGGTCCTTTCCAACAGGAAAAGTCTAAATGGAAATGACCTCTAAAGGCAAATAGGTATCCACATGTGGTTTGAAGGGAAGAGGGGTCATCTAACGAGATGAAATCCGACTGATCCCTGTCTTCATCATTCACGACATAGGAGTTTCGCCAAGGTGGAACTTGTGCAGGAACATAACTCTACTAAGATTCTCTTGCCAATGAGACGAACTATTCCGAAAACTAAATATATTACTGGATTTTTGGAATTTGCACTCTCTGGTACTTGTTATATGCACCTCTGTATCCAATCTTTCTATGATCAGCCACCTTATTTTACAGCTTTTTTAATGCCAATTGAGGACTTATGGTGAGC